CTGGGCGGCAAGGCGGTAGAATGCCCGAACAGAGCATGAGAAGCATCTGGTCAGAGGTGATCGCAAAGAGACTGCTGAGAAGGGTGAGAATGAAGAGAAAGGGAGAGGAGTGGAGGGGGAGGAGGGGGGAGAGAAGGATTGGAGGGGGGAGGGAAAGGCAGGGGAGGGGGGAGCGATGGGGAGGGAGGGAAAGGTAGTGCAAAGGGAAGGACGAAAGGAAGGTTGAAGGGGAGAATGGCGGGAACGAGGAGAGACGGACGTCGGCGTCACGGAAGGAGAAGATAGGAACAGGGGGGACTTTCATCCTAAAAACGGACCCTCTGGAGAAATATTATCGAATATGCTGATCGATCTTACGGAGCTCAAGGATAAATCTAGGTTGGACATTTTCGCCATTCCCTCTGGCGTGGGCCCAGGAGCGAAACACTCTAGAGTTGCTTGGAGAGCAGGACGGGCCCTCCAACTCTTGGGCCCGGGATCATGTACCAGTCGTCCCAGAGATGAGCCATGAGTCCCCAGTGTTGCTCCCGAAGACGCTCCGACCCCGATGGGAAAACAACAGGCTGGCCGCTGCTCTTCAAACTGGCACATACAGGGAAGCGTTTCACCAGGAGCTTGAACGCGAGGTGCTGGCACAAGCCTCTTTCTTTGCAGATTGTACTGAACACGACCAACACATGGATCTCTACTATGACGGATGGGCTGAGATCGTCAAGACAGTTAGTCTACGCAATTTCGCCGTGCCTGATCGCCCAGCAGACACCGTCGAGAGATGATTATCACAGGAACGACTACAACTGATTCGACGGTGACGTGAGCATCGACTTGAGGCCGCTGAATGTTTCTTTACAATATGGGCATCACGAGAGCTACGATGACACTCATGTGGAATGCTTACAGAATATTCGCCGTCTCCCTCTCTCTCTGTCTCTCTCTCTCTCTCTCTCTCTCTCATCAACTCAGGCGATGGACACGCCGACGTCGTGCCCTCCTTCGAGAACGGGCACATCATGAACTCCGCGAAGCTCGAGCTGCTGGCTAGCAAGCAGACATCCAGAAGCCAGTTCGACTCTTATCAGGCCGTTTTACTGGAGTGAAGAACCGACGCTGCAACACTAGATCATCAGATCGACCTACTGTGGCAGAGCTTAGCACACACGTGACTTGCAAAGGCGCAGATGGTGGCATGGAGGTGACGCACATTCCTGATTTGAATGAGATGATTGCGAATTTCTGGATGAAGAGGCGACAATCATAATGAGAAGTTCCAGCATTGAGCGGACCGAAGAAACTCTGATTCACAAATGGTTTGGAAACTTCGCAAAGCACGCGGACGGCGATGCGGATCCTCCTGGAGAGTTCCTGCCGAGCTTGCACTTATCGTACTGAGTCGTACTGGAGCCGAACCATCTCTCTCGTCAGAAGAAGCCGAAGTTTGGCATCGGCTACGGCGTTGACGACACACGTGCATCAACAGAAGATCAAGAGGACCGCCCAGGCTCGGGCTCCCATATTCCGACTCCAGCACCGACACCAGCAGCACCTGAACTTCATCGTTCGAACGCTTCTGATCAAGACTTCCTTAACCCTTTCGACAACCTGACCGACGACGCCCTCGCCTGTAATCTCGAATGCGACTTACCACCGGTGGACCTCCCAGAGGCTTCTCCGTCGATTCCCGCCACGAGGTCATCCACCACCGCCGTTCAGGAGACGCGAGCGCTAGAGGTGGGCAAGGGCACCACAAAACTTAAAAAACGAACCCGCTGAGGCTTGGCTTTGCTTATGCAACCACCGTGCGGCCATGAGGAACGCTGACGAAGGAAGGAAGGTGTTTTCCTCTCCTCCTCCTCCTCCTCCTCCTCCTCCTCCTCCTCCTCCTCCTCCTCCTCCTCGAATGCAAGTCCGCCGACCTGGCCCCGAGGAGCCGCCAAGAAGGCCGGAGCCCCTCCAGGAACCCGGAATGGCACGCAGGCCAGACAGTGCCAGAAGGCACGGGAGCCGCCATCGTGAGGGGCGACGAAAACGGAGGGGACTGGCATAGCCCAGACGCGATCGCGTCGTAACAAAAGTCTGGACGGAAGCGTTTTCGTTGTTTCCGGCCCCTGGGGGCCCTCGCCGGGCCCCGGGACCGTCAAAATTATCCTGGCGAAGGACCCAACCATATGCAGATGTGAATACCGCAATTCTGACTATCATCTTCGCCCGCGCCCCCTACGGGGCCACGGACCGTGCGAGGGGCGTGCCGAAATGCGTGGCGGGGCACACAACGCGAACGAAGACGATAGGTCTGCGTGCGAGGGACTGGAAGCGGGCGAATGTGAGCGCGAGTGAGACTGATTGTGAATGAGTCTGCGCGCGCGGGAGTCTACGTGCATAAATGTCGACACCCACGTCGGCACGTGCCTCACGAGGATCGCGCCCGCTTGCTCCCCGTCTGTTTTCCCGACCATCATGTGGTGTTGGGTCCTCGTTTTGAAGCGACAGGGCCCCGCGTCTCACTCCTCCTCTCCTCACCCCCCTCCTCCCTCCTCCCAGCATCATCATCATCATCATCATCATCATCATCATCATCAGCAGCAGCAGCAGCAGCAGCAGCATCGGCATCAGCATCAGCATCAGCATCAGCATCATCATCATCATCAGCATCAGCATCAGCATCAGCATCAGCATCATCATCATCATCATCATCATCATCATCATCATCATCATCATCATCATCATCATCATCATCATCATCATCGTCATCATCAGCAGCAGCATCATCATCGCCGTCGTCATCATCATCGTCATCGTCATCGTCATCTTCGATCGTGATCGTGATCGTAGTCATCATCATCGTCCTCAACATCGTCACCATCATCGCCATCAGCTTCGGCATCAGCTTCGGCACACCCCTCACACGTTTCGTGGCCCCATAGGGAGCTCCATCTAAGGTCCCATTGGCGCAGTTCGCATGGCGCCGCCGCCCCATTTCGGCACACCCCTCACACGCTTCGTGGCCCCATAGGGAGCTCCATCTAGGTCCTAGTGGCGCAGTTCGCATGGCACACCCCTCACACGTGTCGTGGCCCCACGGGAAGCTCCACCTAAGGTCCCAGTGGCGCAGTTCGCATGGCGGCGCCGCCCCATTTTGGCACGCACCTCACACGTTTGTTTCGTGGCCCCATAGGGAGCTCAATCTAAGGCCCCAGTGGCGCAGTTCGCATGGCGGCGCCGCCCCACTTTGGCACACCCCTCACACGTTTCTTGGCCCCTCAGGGAGCTTCACCAAAGGTCCCAGTGGTGCAGTTCGCATAGCGCCGCCGCCCCATTTTGGCACACTCCTCACACGTTTCGTGGCCCCATAGGGAGCTCCATCGAAGGTCCCAGTGGGGCAGTTCGCATGGCGGCGCCGCCCCATTTCGGCACACCCCTCACACGTTTTGTGGCCCCATAGGGAACTCCATCTAAGGCCCCAGTGGCGCAGTTCGCATGGCGGCGCCGCCCCACTTTGGCACACCCCTCACACGTTTCGTCGCCCCTCAGGGAGCTGCACCTAAGATCCCAGTGGTGCAGTTCGCATGGCGGCGCCGCTTCATTTCAGCACACCCCTCACACGCTTCGTGGCCCCAGTGGCTGCGTTCGCAATCGGTTCCACTCCCCATTTTGGCACACCCCTCACACGTTTCGTGGCCCCACAGGGAGCTCCACGGAAGGCCCCAGTGGCTGCATTCGCATGCGGTTCCACCCCACATTTTGGTGCACCCCTCGCACGCTCCGTGGTCTGAGGCGGCACCACCGAAGACCACAGCGGCAGGTTCCGCATGTCGGTACCGCTCCATTTCTGCACACCCCTCGCACGCTTCGTGGCCCCATAGGGATCTCCATCGAAGGCCCCAGCGGCAGGGTTCACATGGCGGCGCTGTGCCGATTTCGGGACGCCCCTCGCGCCGATCGCACCCTATTGGGAGCATCACAGATGGCCTCTGTGGACGGAGGCTCCCGGAGATCTCCAGGCAGTTCGGATCAGGATGAGGGGGGTTAAGTAGGATGATGAGGATGATGATGATGCTGATGATGATGCTGATGATGACGATGATGATGATGACGAAGACCACGAGGACACATAAATACGATGATGATGGTGGTGATGATAAGGAAAGGATGAGACTCAGGGGGACGAATAGGCCGCTCCTCCGCACCAGGGAGGGTGCGGATACAAGCGGGAGGGCGAGCGCACGGTTCTCTTTCTCTCCCTCAAATCCCACCAGCCCTCTGGGCGTCGGTGGTTAAGGGCGTATCTTCTTCCACCCTTCCCTCTTCCCCTTCGGGGAGGGGTTTACCCCTCCCCCTACCCCCTCCCCGTGGACCTGGACGGGAGGGGCGGGGAGGTGTCACGGCGTCCAAAACGGCCTCAGCGAGGAAGCCAACATCATTGGTTTTACTCTGGTTTTGGCCCCATTTTGGCCTCCTGAGGCGGCAACCCTAATTGAAGCTCCCCTCTTCTTTGATCGATGTCCTCCAAGATGGCCCCAAGAAGCGCCAGGAGACCCCAAGAGGCCCCAAGATGGCCCAAAGAGGCCCCAAGAGGTCCACAGGAGGCCCCCAAGAGGATCCCAAGCGGCCCAAAGAGGCCCCCCCGAGGCACTCAAGACGCCGAACATCCCCTCGCCTGGGCGTCGTTTCTGGATGGGCTGGTGGGGATATTTTTCAGTCAGCGGCCGCAGGCGAGAGCGCCAGCGGCGAGTCCAGTCAAAGCGGGCCGCGCAAAGACGAATTAACCTAAAGCGGTGGGCCGGAGCCGGAGCCTCACGCGGCACCTCGGCGGGCACGCCGGCGAGTGGAGGACGGCTGGCTGCGGCTGCCAGGGAAGCTGCACTGGGTGCACGCATGCAACGAGCTGCAAAGAAGTGCTGACTGCCAGGGTGGCCGACCGCCAGGGTCTGCAAGCTGCGAGTGAATTGTATGCAGAGGCGTGAGCACCCAAGGGACTGCAAGAGTACCAGGGTGGCCAGAGC